CAAATTCCTTGAAAGTTTATAGGTTCTCCACATGTTACTTGGAAATCAACAATGCATTCAAAGCTTTGATATTTGTTTCTGGATTTGAAGTAAGTTCTTTCTAATTCAACATCTTTACGAACCTAAAATTCTAATTTAAAAGAATAAAAAATTCATATTAACTAAATTTCATGTGTGTCTCTCTCAATCTTAATCGAAGTTCAATAGTTATTTCTCTTAGGCATCAAACACCACATTTACTTCGAAATAAGCATGTTGATTTTGAATCAATCAAGTTACTCCAACATTGTCATCCTTGAGTTGGATAATCTTGATAATTACGATAGAGTTGTAAATATAATTTAATTACTGTCTTGTTAGCCAAAGAAATCGGATACATTGTTTGCCTTCTTGATAACATGTTTCACTTCCAATTTAATACATGATAACATGCTAGGAGATACCCTCTTTTGGGGATTATTTTTTCAAACTTCCATATATATGTTGTATCTCCATCTTTCTTAGTATCATACAAGTACACTTCATCCTCGTAGGTTTCTTAATTGATAAATTTTTCTAAGTCGCATGGGGTAGATTCACATGGGACTTTGATTAACTATTGATCTATTATTCCTCAAGTATTAATCATTTCTATCTATTCTCAAGTTCTTCTGAATTCAGAACTTATTCCACAACGAAAACTAATTGAAATGGCGAAAAAGCAAGTTACCGTTTTGCTATATTGGGGTGGACAAATAGAATATAGATTCGAGGGTTTATCATATAGTTGTCCTGCCAAAGGTGGAATTGTTATCAATAGTGGTACACAACTGCTGGAGTTGTTGAGTAAAATTTACACTGTAATGGGGTTGGACAGGACGCATAACAAGTTGAAGTTGACTTTTAGATATCTTTTTACACTTGAAACAGGGCCAAACAAGAATACATATGTCGGTCTGAAAATTGTCAACGATGAACTAGTGACTTATGTGGTTAATGTGAGACTTGAAAACCTTAGCATTGCTAGTGTTACTTTATACGTGGAGACGGAGGACATCAATGCTGGCATAGTCAGTGGTCAGACCGGATAGTGCATAACAACCACTGTTATGCCTTACACTGAGTTGCTTAAGTGAGAGATGGGTACCTTGACATTTCTAACTTTCGGGGTGACGGGTGAATGTTCAACTCCTGTGAGGATGCAGGAAATGGATGAGTCTAGGCAGTAATTTTACACCCAACAAAGAACTGGCTTCGGAACATACAGTGGGTACTCAGTCAACAATTCACTGAGTCAGAATTTTCAAATAGATGAGGCGAAAATTGAGGTAGGTGAACAAGATGGTGTCCATCAACTAATAATGCAACAAAGTCCAATTCAAAAATATGAAGAAATGTGTGCTAATGATCGTACAAATATCTCTGATGATGATGACAACAAAAAAAAGAGTTTGAGGAAGCAATGATTGTTGAGCAGGATGATGAAGATGGGCATGGTGAAGACATTGAGGCTGCTCAGGAGATTCGAATGCATGAGTCTTACTCCACCTCATTCACAAGCACTGAATTTGGTCAGCATTGTGATGCAGATAACTTAGTACCGTCATCTGAAATGAATTTATGGGATCTGGTGAAGATGGAGTTGGCGAAGGGCATGGTTTTTCAGGAGAAAGCTTCATTGATTAGCGCTGTTAAATGGTATTCTATCAAGCTGAATCAGGATTATGTCATGGTCGAAACGAACACAACGATGTGGGCTGTACAGTGCATCAAGTACATATAGTCTAACTGCACATGGAGACTACGTGCTTGTTTTAGAAAAAAATTAAAAATATTTTAGATCACGAAATATAATGGACCTCATACCTGCTTCTACCCTAGAATGACTCGTGACCATAGGCAGTTAGATTTTGATTTCATATGTCATAATATTTTGGGACTCGTGGGTGATACACCACAAAATAAATGTCAAAAATTTAGAAACATATAAAGGAGAAGTTTAAGTATGATATTTCATAAAAGAAAGTATGGATTGCGAGGAACAATGTCATTAATAAGATTTTTGGTGATTGGGACTCATCATATGACATGTTGCCAAAGTTTTTGGGTGTCATCAAGAAGTATAACCCTGGCTCAATTGTGTAGTGGCAATACAACTATAAATCCCCTGAATATAATATATTTTGGGCATTCAAGACCAACATTAGAGGGTTTAAATATCGTCGACCTGTTGTCAGTATCAATGGGACATTTCTTTGTGGAAAGTATAAGGAAAAGCTATTAATGGCGACAGGTTTTGATTCTAATAAGCAGTAGTTTCCCAGTAGACGCAATGCTAAGGACATCGGCGGATTGCTTGTTCTATTACAGGCACATGCAAACTTATGTTTCATGTTCGTCCAATTGTTTGTTTTTTTTTTATAAGCTTTAATGTAATGTCGAATATAGGTGTTACATTACAACTGTTTTATTTTTTTATATAGTTGTTGGCATTAGAGCGTCTATCACATATACGTCCACAACGATTCCTCCCACATGGCCCATTACCTGATGTCGTGACGGATGGAGTAGATGTACATCCAGAGGCTAGCCCAGCAGTTGGTGTAGCACTTACACCTACACCAGATGTACCAACACATGATAACCTACCAGCAGAGCCTTGTGGGTGTAGGTAAGACAATATTAGTGTCTTACATTTCATTATTCATTAGTATTATACAGTACATTCAACTAAATTTTTTTTTGTACTATACAATTGGGATGTTGCATTTTATGAGCAACACACGCCTACCCATGTACTTAGACATTATAGAGATCAGTTTGATCAGATGTGCGATAAGCAGGTATAAAAATGATCGTTGGTCTTATTATTGTTTGTTAATTGCCTAATTTAACTGTGGCTGATGTTGTTGGTTTGATGTTTGATGCACAGCAAATGATTGGTCATTTGCATTGTTGGGTTATTGGATGTGTTGTATGATTGGTAGTTGATTGTATGATTGTTGGATGGTAATCGCATTTACTTAGGTTGTTGTTAGTATATGTACGCAATATAAACTGCAACAAGTGTTTCTAGAAAAACTTTTGGGGTCATATATATAGGGGAAACTCTGCCAAAATTTTTAATTTTTATTTACATCTAACAAAAATCATTATTCTTATACTACAGATGATATGGCAGCCTTTCACTGCTAATGTGCGGGCCAGCCTACCTAATTATTGCTTGCGTGATCGAGAATTATGGACTATCTGGGCCCCGCTCATATGTTTTAATGTGGTGGGGTGGCATTTTTCAGATTGTGTTCTGCGACAATTTGGATGTAGGCAGCTCATACCAGTGCCATGTGATTCTAGTCAAGAGCTGCATGCCACAAATAGGCGTGGCAGACATGGTTATGACTAAACAATCGCACATCAGCGATACATCAACATGTGAGATCAGCGACATGATTATATTGTGCACGGCGAGCCTACGCCCGACATGATGGATGCAACTGATCCCTATATCAAGTGGTATCAACACATTACTCGTCTACTTATCGAACCACCGATGCTGCGCCTTGATGTTGGTTTTCAGCCCATCGACAGTATCATCAAGTTGTTGGTATGTGTTGTTTACTTGATAGATAAATTTAATGTGGTACAGAAATTACGTATTCTTGTTTTAAATCCTTATTTTATGGTGCTGCAGAAACAGACACTAACACAAGTATATCACATAGCTCGTGATACTGTTAGTGGCAAGCCTGATTTGCGAACATGTTTGGCGGCCATCAGTTAGATGGGGGATGCAAGCTACAGGTGTTTGTCAACTCTTTCTGAGCACCGAAGACTTGTGCAACCTCCGACAAACATTCAGCAACCTGTCGTTGCAGCCCCAATGCATGCATGACAGCGTGGTGTATGCATTCCTCGACGATTAGCTGCACACGTACAAGGGCAAACTTCCCCATCGGTCGTGGATACTGCTACGACATCATTAGAGGCAAGCCCATCAGCTGTATATGTTCCCCATACTGCTGCAGATTGTCTATCTACCCCATATGTCCTAGTTGCTAATTATGACATTCATACATCGGTCGTTCACCATGCCCCTACATCACCACTTGATCTTCCTACAGTTACATCATGTGGGCCACCGCTGACCTCACCACATGTTGATACATCGGCTACTCTATTCACACTTTCACCCGATTCAGTTGGTATAGCGGATATGTCACCTGCACTAGACAAGACAGATACATCACTTCCACATGTAAGGACATGTATTCCACATATTGTTCCACCGATGCCCACACGACCTACTTCTCCTGTTCCATACGAAGATTGTTCCAATGATGCTAAGGTTCCAACTAATGGAGTTAGACAGGAGCCATCACTATCACACATAGGTCAAGGCAGAGGTGAGCATGGAGTCGATCTTCATACACATCATACACATGATCCAGTAGATCCGCGTTTTGAAACCCAGCCTAGCCCAACGGGTCAACCCGGTGAATCGGTGAACCGGTCCCCAAACAGGGCCGGGTCTAACAAAAGATCGTTTATGCAAGTAACCCGGGGTAAACCCGTGAGAACCGGATGAATTTACCAAATCGGACGATTTAAATTCAATTTTATAAATATGAGTTTTTTTCGTCCTTTGGACATTGCATGTTTTTCCCCCTTTTGTTTTGCCCTACATCGATCCACTAAACCAAACACCAGCGACCGAAGCACTGAGCTCAGCCTCCACCTCCACCCCCAACAATTGAGCTCAACCTCCACCACCAACGACTGACTCTAGTCCAGCCACCACCAGCGAGTAGCAACGATCAACAGGTCTTTTATCTGGTAATGAGTTAACCATGTGGGTCTTTTGACTCTGTTATGATTGTGTATAGTTCATGGCAATTCATCATTTGTGTTTAATCTCCTCTCTTCTCTCTCCTCTCTCCTCTCTCCTCTCTCCTCTCTCTACCATTAAGTCACAACAACAGAGTTGTAGAAGAAGATACAAAGTAAAAGCTTGAACAAAGACAATGATGACAAGCCATGAAGAAGAAAAAGATGACACAGAAGCAGCAACAGCTGGTGAAGTCTCCTTCAAGAAGACATACCCGAAGGTTTATGGTGATGAAGAATTAAACCCAGCACAAGTCAATAGTACAGATTTTCATGTTGATCATTCAGCTTTTACTTCCCCCAAAGAACTCAAGGTAATTTTTCAATTTTTTGTACTGAAAACTTTTTTTTGACCCAACTCTAGAAATACTAGTTTATCTATATATGTTTGAACATACATAAGAGTAATACTAATTGACTTACTGACCGACTTAATTTGTTGATCGAATGAATTCCATTTTTAGTTGAAATTTGCTACCGATTCAATGACTATAATACATTAAGTCAGTAAATTAGAGTTAAATAGCATTTTTTTATATACTTTGTGACTTGATTTACTCCAAAGTGTCCCTAATATTGTATTTTTTAGTCTATTTATTATTATTTATAATTATTTTTTAATTTTTTATTATATTACCAATTGAACCAGTGATCCAACGGTTGAAGCAGTGACCCATTAACCCGGTCCCTTCACCGGGTTGATGTCCAGGTCAGGTTTTAAAACTATGCAGTAGATGACGGAGCCACTCAAGATATACCGGCTCCGCCTGATAGTCAGTGGCCCGAGTGACAGATAAGACCACCACCTTGTGGGATGTAGTCTATTTTTTACATTTTTTTTGTATAAAAATTATGACTATTGTTATTGTATATAAAATCTCTTTGGGTTCATAGTTTCATATATTGTTATTTCATTACTGCCTTTCAGATTAGTTATTCAATACTCTAACCAACGTTTGTTAAATAACATAACATAAATTATTGAAATTTATATGGACAATACTAACTGGAGTAGTACACCATATTTCATAAAAATAAATATAGAAACATAATTCATAAACATATTGCAAACACAATTACGACGACCAAAGTGTAAATGTTACAATACAGGACTTTCGTGACACTTCTTCATGGGTCATCATCGTCGTTAGACAGGTAATGATCATAAATACATCCATCTTCACAACTCAATTGGTAGCTTAAAATTGTTTCTTGCATCCTCCCTTCTGAAGCACAGTCGCATGCAATATGGCGCAGGTTGTACTGATTGTAATGAATTGACATTCGATTGTTCTCAACTCGAATGCGAAACAATGCTCGCTCTAATTCTTGAGGAGTGATAATAGGCATAGCAATAGAAACTTGTCGAGGTCTTCTTATGTTATAAGAACGTAAATCTAAGCTTAGATTTTCTCTTTTTGTCAAGCGATAATGTCATTCCATCATCATTATTATGTTTGTAGTTGTTAATGAATAGCGTAAGCAAGGATTCGTTGGGTAAAAGAACTCATCCTCTAAAGCCCAATGATAACTCTTAGTTTCAAACAGGGTTCTCAGACTAAAATTCATGATTAGAGATGAATTCTGTACATTGAACATTTCACAAGAGTTCAAACTTATAGGAAATTTATTTATGTGAGTATGTCAATCTACAGCCTAATTGAATGATATTACAACATTGTGTTGTCACACTCACTGACTACACAATAATATTTAGTCACACTTATTGACATTGAACCAGTGTATAGTTACACAAACTGACATTTAACCAATGTTTAGTCACAGTAACCCAGTGTGTTGTCACAATGACTTACAATGATGCAATTGACAGTCATTGTAATTGTTTCTTATTCAGCAGCACACGTTAATGAAGAACCTGCATTGCACTTCAATGCACTGGTCTTTAGTCACAATCAACATCCTATAACTACACAGTAGTTAACATCCACAAACCCTAATACTGTTAAATGTATCACGGAAGTGAATCACAATGATGCAAGATGAATCAAAGTCTATTAAAATCAATGTAGTACATATCTCAATGTACAGTCACAGTCACCGCGTACCAATGTCTGGTTACGCTGACATGTAATAGTGTGTAGTCACACTTACTACACAATTTTTTTTTTAATATTTGACCATCAACTCAAACATAAAGGTGACTACACACTACTGCAATGCTGACAAATGTACTTATTTCATATAATGAAAACCACTATAAAAACATAATATAGGGTGGTTCTATCACATGTATTGCACATCATCTGTACTTCAAGAGCACGAGCATGTGATAACAGTCGTAGTCATGAACCAGTATGGCTATTACAAGAGCAAGATGATGATTATAAGAGTGAGAGATTTTCTAATCCAAAGGAGTATTATGTCAAACTCCATCGAGAGTGGACTTTTCGTGCTACTGAATCACTCTCATTATGCACAGATCTGAGACAACTTGGTATATCAGTGCCACATAGACTTTCAATTACCATGTCGTGGAGGAATAAAGTCAACTATAAAGCAATAGTTAAACATGTACAAAAGGAGAATAATAGGATGATGTTGCGTAAGTACTGATATTATATGCTCCAAATAGCATCTGACATGGTGGCAACTACATTTGGTAGGGAGTTAACAGCTACAAAGCGATCTAATGTATTGTCTAATGAACAATACCTATTAGATGAGTATATGTATGATGAAAATTAACAAATATAATTAGTGTTCACCTTATTAAGCATATAATGTTTATATCTACGTCATATTTACTTTAATCAATATTGTGGCTTTATTAGTTTATTCAACGTGTTATCATATCTCAACTTTTTCATTGTCACATCCTACCATTGTCAAATCAGTTCTCAACTTTGCAGTGTGTTGTCATATCCCAACTTTTTTATTGTCATTTTAAATCACTGTTAAATCAATTCCAAACTATGCAAATTGATGTCCTTTCACTATAATTTTAAATTGTCAAACCGTGCATATATATACTACCATTCATAATTGTGTAAATGCACCACCACCAAACAAAATGTATAAGAGCACATCACATGCAAGTTCTTCTTCACACAATGATCAAAATAATTCATCTTCGGGTAACAAACATGAACACTCAACGGACAGCTTAACATCGCTAAACAAAGTTCCTTCTATCGAATTATATATCGATTCCGGTGGTGTAATGTGGTATGGACGAAAGTGTGCATTCCGCAATGAGCCCATCGACCCTTATCACCCATTCAGACAAGTTGGACATGTAATTGTTGGGCTTGCAACTGATTATCCACCTCCAGGTGCTCATATCGAACCCACACCAAGATGGCGACAGTTATATAACAAACGTTATGACCTTGAAGTATTTTGTCGTTGGCATGAAATTGCGGTACCAAAGGCACATTTCGACTGATATTTACAATTCACAGAATTCAAACAATCATGACGATGTCATACCAATACTTGAACGTGAAAATGATCAAATGCAGTGTCGTCTTGATCGTTTCCATGCACACGATTATGCAAAAATAAAACATTTTGATCATGAATATGTCGAAATTTAAATATAGATGATCCGTTACTTGCTTCTGATCCTGAACTTTCTGATTTGGACGATGATGTGTCTGGCACTTTTATGATTATTTCTTCATATTTTTGTGTACTCGATAATCCTTTATGTTGTTTTGAATATCAACCACGTTATTGACATCCTTTTTTTACATGTATACATTCTAAATAACTTATATTTTTTTACAGCTTAATAAACATTAATGTCAACATGATCAACATTAAAAATAAAATTTTATTATTATTTTATGTATGCATTTAAAATTATATGATAAAATTAAAATTATTTATATTTATATTTATATTTTTTCAATTTTTTAAGTTTTATATGCTCAAAATAAAGGTATTTTTAAATGATCAAAATTTATTTATTGAATGCAATTAAATTTTTAAATCAATAAAAAAGAACTCAACCTCTAAAAAGGAGAGGAAGCAAAACAGTTTTAGGTATCATTATTAGGGAGAAAAACGTCAGTAAGACAAACGAAATTTTATGAATTTTTAAATTATCAAAATTTATTTATTGAATATAATTAAATTTATTAATAAATAAACATTAAACATTTTAGTCATTAAAAAAGAGGGAGAAAAACTTTCGCTAAAAACGTTTGGACTGACATTTTTAAGTTGTATACTGGCCACAGTGTTTGGAACCATGCCATTCACAAGGAGCATACTGGCCACAGTGTTTTTAAGTTGTATACTGGCCACAGTGTTTTTAAAACCACATGAATTTGGAAAATATTTTCAAAACAACCATATTTTAGGAATTTTTTTTCAAAACCCACGTGTTCTCTCACATGCTTACTGTGGCATTTGTTAGACGTTGGTGGAGCGGAAGCGATCAAGAGGTTCACCAATCCCAGTGGCGCGAAGTACTCTATATTCTTCAACGTCAAAAGGAACATAGAGACGAGTCATCAGATCCCACTAGTTCTAGTGGTGCTTCCACTTTTGCCTCCCTTGGTCCTAGGATGGACGTTACAAGTGATACACGAGCTTTTCCTTCAATGTCTCGTACACGTTGTGGAGTCTTCCATTGCTCCATGCCATTCACAAGGAGCATTACCAATGTCCACCATTACCAATGTCTCCAATAACAACCAGGAGGATGTTTCAACATCTATGAGAGCACCATTCTTCTTGTCCACTATTTCAAGGCCACAAACACTATGGTCATCCTGTAATAAGGTAAGAAATGATAAATTCTGTGTGCTTCACGGCACCATTTGATCCTACAGTTTCAGGAGTGAAGCTGTATTTGACTAGTCGAAAGTGTCGTTGCCATCGGTGCATAAAACCAGGATTGGCTGGTTCCCATTGCTTGAACATGCTAGGGACCAATATCCATGATCAACTATTCTACTGCTTTGCAGTATTTCAGTATTGTCTCCCTCTAAGAAAATAATTACATACATGACAACTAATAGTGGCGGATTTCTTTAACAAAGAAATCACCCTAAAAAATAAAAAGAAAAAAAAAATAACTAATAGTGTTTTTGTTTTTAAACCGGAAAACACGTGTTAGTTAAAAAATAAGAGCACTGAGATATTATTTGAAACTCATACAAAAATAAATCAAAAAATTAACATAAAAATAAGCGAATGCATGTGGGTTGAACAACCAAATTTGGGACCCACCCAATAACGTAAATAAATAGGGATTCACCAAATAATGTTCACCTTTTTTTTTTTTTTTTTTTTTGTTGCTTATGATCCAATGTCCCCAAACTAGCGGCAATGGGAATTTTAA